AAAAAAAAAAAAAAAAAAAAAAAAAAAAAAAAAAAAAAAAAAAAAAAAAAAAACCGTAACTATCAAGTACGGGACCGATATTGATGTTCTTTTTTTTAAAAGTAGGGCACCTTGGATAACAATTAAACATGATCACGTTTTTATTATATGAAGAAAAATAAGCCAACTGTAAATCTTTTTTTTAAAGCCACGCGTTCTCTGCCCGAGTCTGGCCAGCGTAGCAGAGGGCTTTTCCCGACCACGCGTCTTTTTACCATCCCTGGCTCGCCTCAGCACCTAAAGCCGCGAAATTTCCCTATTTTACAACGTGTTTTTTAAAGGTTTGCCGACATTAAGAGTATTCAAAGTGACAATTAAGTCGTAGATAAATATCTGCAGAATACATATAGGTTTAAAAAATTGGATTTGAACCATTTTTGGCGATTTCTCCGCCATTATTGATAATTATGACAAAATTGAAAAAAAAATTTTCAACCAAATTTCCATCAGAACTAGGGCTCTGCTCGGGAATGATATGTTGGTTTAGTATTAGGTTGGTACCTACCCTCACCCCGGCTTAACTAACCGGCCGTGTGTTCGCACATGTAAACAAAAGTTTATCAGCTGATCACATTTTGGCGCACATTGAGTGCTTTTAAGTGATTCAACTGTTTAACTTTTGTTTACATGTGCGAACACACGGTCGGTTAGTAAAGCCAGGGTGGAGGTAGGTACCAACTAACAACTTAAGGTGGCTCCTCACTAAATCACAACACTGGAGTATTAAATGATATTTTAAAGGATGATTTTTGACGGTGCAAGAAGTCTTTTCCCAAAATTTTAGACCTCGTCACCACCAAAATTGTTGAAAAAAACTAACTGGAAAATAGACTCTGTAACATAGCCTCTTATGGAGGGTCGTCAAATTGGTGGCGTAGGTTGTATGATATCTCAGCAAAGATACTGTAGTTCTTAATAGAAAACTGTGTAGCAGATAGAAGAAATCAGAATCTTTCCAACGACATTCAGGTACTTGGACATTACCATGGGTTTTATAGGATATTTTGTGAAAATAGTAGATAACTGTGCAAGTCACGGAACATATGAAAAGAGTGGGGCGTTTGCTACACCGAAGAGCAGTAGCCCGCGTAGTTTGAATTGGTCAGAAAGTTGTACGTAAAATGAATAGGAGTTGTGGGGAATCGTAATTATAATAAAAATAAATGAAACGCTGAACTAAAAAAATAATTTAATGCAGGGCTGACTTATGTACTTTTTTGACTAATAGATAAAATTAATAGAATATATCACGATAAAGTTAGGACACGGTTGTATTTAATCGTCACTAATAAATAACTTGTAGATGTTTTCTAAAGTTTTTTGGTCTTTGGTCACCCATGGTTTATTATTAACATTTTCAGAGAGTAAAATGCGGAGACCCTCTTTACCGTTAGTGCTGAATGCTTTTTGTAAAACGGTATTAGTAATACCAGTTTCTGCCATTTTGTTTATTATTCTTGAAGACAAATTGTCTTTGTACTGTAATAAAGTACCTTTATTCTTTACTTTAAGTACTTTCAATCTCTTTTCTTCAGCGATAACCAATATACTTTTTGCGTCACTTTTGACGGTTTCCTCAGACTTCCCAATTTCTAAAAGCAATTTTTTTAACGCTTGTACGTCACTCACAGTATTATGAAGCGATAAAGACGCTTGGTCAGGAAAGATGCCTGCGATTTTCGTGCCCTCCTGTCCTTAACAGCTTTTAACAACTTCTCTCGGGCTATTACTACTCTTTTTTTCGCAAATTGTCCTTTTTTTTCCTCTTGTAAGACGAGCAGGACGATTTGTCGGGGGCATTGTCTTTTTTGTTAGGTACTTATCGTCAGCTTATTATTATTTACATACAAGGGTTATGTTGTCAGATTTGTATACATACGTCTGCTCGGGTCACTGTATTGTACGATATAGGTCAACGGTAAACATGTGACTAAACTTTTTTTGAAGGGACTATAGGTACCTATCCATTTTTAGTCAAGAACCTCCACAGCCAATGAAAAGCTGTGTTGCAGTATGCTTACTTTTCATGTGGGATTTATAGTGAGGAGCCACCTTAACCAACATATCATTTCCGAACAGAGCCTAGGTATTTCAAATTTGAGCCTCAAAAAAAGCTTCTAGGACGATAAAAAGCTGGCCTACTTACTTATACGATCAATTACGCAATTGAACAGCGCATGTCCAAAATACTTACTTTGAGATTTGGGATGTAAATTTTTCTTACATTTAGAATCAAGAAGTACAGTCGTATTACATTAAGAATTAAAAATCGCATAAGAAATCGCAAAAAACAGCTTCTACAGTTGTACGAAAAAAATCGTTTCGTACTTAATTTGTTCTCTAAATCTATATAAATGTATACTCACTTATCCCTCGAGTTATAAGTCGTTCACGTAAAAAAAGTGAGTACTGACATATTAAAATAGTGAAATTATCTACTTTAAAAATAAGTGAAACATGCACTCTATGAATAAGTGAATATACCATGATCAGAAAAGTGTTCGGTTCACTTATTACAAAAGTCAATTATTCTCTTATTTAGAAAAGTGTGCTTGTACTTATATAATAAGTGAAACTGGAGAATGTTAAAATTACTATAAAAAATAATTCTAATTAAAATTAAACAAAAGGTCATCTGAAATAATGAAATAATTTATTACGATTTTTATATTTATTGATACTAGAACAGAATATTTTCTTCATATTTCGGTATTAAAAGAGGTTTGCAAAACTCCATGTTTTTAACTATACGAGGAGCGTAACAAGCTGAAAATTTAGTTATTAAATTGTCTCCAGACTGTGGAAACATTAATTTAAATTCTGCATCAATCTGCAAGCAAAAAATATACTGAAATTATTAACGCACTTATAAAATTGATATTCATCATTATAAACATGAGAATATTGGCGTATTAATGATGACATTTTTTGAATATTAGAGTAATATTTGTATACATTTATATACGTCGTGGAAGTGAATATAAATAAATGATTATAATTACCCAATCCCCACAGAAATTTTTTAATCATCTATATTTG